CCACTCTTCTCAGGCCAAGAACCTGCCTTATGTGGTATGTCCATTTACATTTCAATGATCAAAAACTAGACCATATCAAAATGCACGATCCACCAATTTCCCAGTCATCAAAGGAAGCTAGCTGTTTGATTTTTGTTGGAATTTTGCTCGTCAATCTTCTCTTCCTTCTTACTCACCTACCATTATTTTGTTTTATTTTTCATCCATTTTGTTAGTTTTCTGAGACCCACAACTCAAACCTCATGTATCTAGATTGCTTAACCCATCTAGACCATAGCTCAATGAAGGAAAAACATCTGTTCTGGCCGGATTTTTCCTTTTTATTGACACTTGAGACTCCTCAAAGTCTTAGGCCCCCTTTGGCCATAAGTAATTTGTAATTTTGAGTCAAAATTTAGCGGGAGTTTGTGCAAAAATGTTATATTGTTGTGTATTGCAAGGTCTGCATCCGCGCCAAACCTTCCAAATCACAAATTATGATTTGCGGCCAAACAGGGCCTTATTGTGAGGACACTTAAGCCTCCTCAATTCAAGATACAGGTTACCTGCTTTGGAGCTTGTCTGATAAAAGCTTGCCAATTTTTCCACTCTTTGCCCCTAAATTTCAACCTGCTTCACAGAATCAGACCTTGTCTGATATTGGCTTGCCAATTTTTCCACTCTTTTCACCTAATTTTCAACAATTTTCCTCTTTCTCATATCAGGATTAGAAAAATGTACTTTTTTGGCTTGGATGGTTTTCATGCAAAATTTGGGGTGTGTTGCTCATAGCACCCTTTGTCATTGGGAGAAGGAGGAGGGCTTTTCTGTCTTAATCATCAGAAAGGATATGTCTCAGCTCTTTAGATTGAGTGTCTTTGTTGGGGATGTGACAGTTATGGTGTCAAAGTTAAATATGTAAACATCATGCATGCATCATTCACAAATAATCAAATCTCCTTTGGTGGGGAACCTCCAGATTACATAATCAGATTGTCAAGATCCTCTGCCAAAAAGATTTGATTACAGTGAAAACTGTCAAAGGTCAAACACTTCTAACCACATAATCTGCCTAAATGCATAGGAAAAATCTGAAACCAATTTGTTTCTTTGACTGCAAATATACTTTATTTGTGTTTGCAACTAACCTTGGGACAGATCTGAAAGAAAATATATTTTTGTAATTGGGAAAATATCCAATTTTGCCAAAACTGGGATGGGTGATGACAGTGGTGATGAGTCAATAGATGACATGATGACGATTAGAATCGGACAGTTGATTTTGGGATGATTCAAGCCAATCTGACACTGAAAATTGAAAGTCCAAGGAACAGGATAATTGGGAAGAATTTTGGGCAGAAAGTCATGTCCAAAAAAGATTTTTCCAATTACAAAATTTTATTTTTATCAGATCTGGCCAAGGTTAGTTGCAAACACAATACTATAGGGGCATGGTATAAGGTTTTGTCTGCATCTATGAAATATGCTTACATGACTGTTGTGGTGAGACCAAGCAAGGTCATACTCAGTACAAAATAGTTATACATAGTAGTTTTTATGATGTTACAATCTGATATACTTGTGCTACATAATTCATTATCTTGTATCCAGTTCAGAAGGTTAAAAAATAGTATTCTTACACATAGTTTGGTTACATAATATATAGTACTACATAGCTACAACACACTACATATCACACCTCTCAAGATACAAATTAGTCTTCCCTCAGTACCCTCTTTCTATGATAATAATCCTTCAGTAACATTAGTTATTTCATCTCAGATACCACTTAGTCAGACTACATATACTATTTCATTCCATACTTCTGCTTTCTCATCCCAGATATTGGTTATTTCATCTCATCTCACTCATCATCCTCTTCTTTTCATACAACATTTATTTCATACAACAGTTATCTCATACTACAATTATTTCATCATACTACAATTATTTCATAGTAAATTTATTTCATACTATATTTATTTTATTCTACATTTATTTCATCCTACATTTCTTTCATACATCCATCTCATTTCAACTCATTACACATTGCTTATATCACCTACATATATATTTCACCACACAGATTGCTCATCTCACCTCAGAATATTTATGTCAGTCCTTATTAACTCATTTCTTTTGCACTTCATATTATTTTTTATCACAAACAAAAGTTACTTCATATTTTCTCCTTTTCAACATGTTTATTTCACACTAAAAATTTGTCAGTCACATTTATTTCATAAACAATTGCCTTTCAGATACAACTTATTTCATACCATCTTCTTACATCAGCTGATATCTTACCACTAGTATCTGATCAGAACCACCCCACATGTATATAGAGAATACCCTTTCCCACTTACTTTGTTCCCCATGCTTGCATTAGAGAAGTAAACAGATAATTACTTAGCAGACATCACTTACTAGTAGTTACTGTTGGAATTTTGTCTCTTTCTTCTCATCCCTAAAAAATCCTTCTATTACACCTTTCTGTTTTAATGATATTTAGATGAAAAATTAGCAATTTTACTGTGTCTTGTAAGTGTCTGAGTGGCACCTTTTTCATTGTCTAGTGCTGCAATCCCTGTAGTCTTTGAACCCAGGTCTAGTCTTTATCAATGATTATTTGCTCCTGTCATCTTTTCATGCATGTGTCAAATTGTGATTCATTTCAATATTCATTTTTCTTCTCACCCACATGTTTAACCTCTTGTATGTAGACTACTTAACGCCTAGTCTCCTCTAAGTAAAACACCATTGGCTCTTACCCTCTTTTTCCGACCCTTGAGTCTTTCCAACAAAAAGTCACTTTTTGTTGCCCAAAAATTTTTCTCTTCAAAGAAAATTCTCCGCCTCTCCGGTCAAAATTTCTTCAGTTACCAGAAGTAATTATTATTGATTTTCCCCCCAGAAGATAAGAAATTGAACCCAGAAACCATTATCCCCCAGAGCCTCATCCTTACCAAAATCCCCACATCCTCAATCTCTCAGCAGGTGACTTGTACAAGACATCAGTAATAAAACTCAGACTAAGATTACCCACAGAAATAGCCACACCTTTTCTTTAATTCTTAGTGTAACTCTCTCCCAAGCCTTGACAAGAGGGCAGCTTCATCAGCATCCAAGTCTTCAACTCACATATTCCCCTGTTTAGTTGTTCTTTTCCCCTCTAAGCTCTTTTCTTTAGTTTGAAAAGTTCCACACTGTTTGCATGTTTAACTTTGAACACCATCCACCACATGAGCAAGCAATATTTCAAAAGCTGATTTTATTGGGTTTCAAAATATTTTCTAGTCCATTAAGTGCAGACGTCCAGATGAGCAAGTCACTGATCCTGATTGTAATGTTTTCAACAATATCTTGCAAGCAGTCTGCATGAAATTTGAAAAATATCTGAATTCAGCTAGCTGCCCAAGAAAGTTGCAGATTGGGTCAAATCACTGAGTCTGCCATAAAAGGCCAAGGAAATATTTTAGAATGGTGTGCACAATATTTTTCCCATCAAAAGCAGTTGGAAGACCACTTTCCACGGCCAGCCCCAAAGAGGCCGCATAATATTCTTCCCAGTCAGGAATATCTTTGGACCAAATCCAAAAACATTTTGTGCACCTGTGGTGTAAGTCATGTGGGGACAAGATTATTACCAATCTAGGGTTCAAATCAAAGTACATAAACCAAACCACTGGATACTGCCACTTCCACATCAAATACCTACCTCTACCTGTGCACCCACTCTAGTCATCAATTCTTGAGACATTTTGATTTTTCCATGTTCATACCTTCCATGTTTCAATACACTACAGCACTCCTAAAAAATGCTTTCCATCATCTCTATCTCCCAACTGATAAAGATTCTTTCTCAATCCTGGTGACATATGTGGCATACATTTAAACATGCTGTAAAACCTTTGCAAGAAGGTTTGGATTTTCTTACTAGTTTCATCTGCTGTTTTTTCAGAAGTTAATTGTGAGTCAGGATATTCTCCAAGGGTTTTGATAAGCCAATCCTGAAGAAAAAAGTGCCCCTTCAAATAATATTCTTCTGAATGTCCAAAAGTTTGAAGGAATTCCAAGTTGATAAACCAGAGTAGGTCTGAAAATCCTTCAAATTGTTCAGATGTGTTTATCCTTGCGAATTCTTCTTTCTTGATTGGAAATTTCTGGTTGATGATTTTCAAATGAATGTTATTTTGCACAATTGTTCTAGTTTTTGGGCCCTTTCATGCATGAGGATGACTGTTGTTCCCCTGTCAAGTGTTGAAGCTGGTTGGGCTTCCGGACAGCATGGTAATGTCACAGAGAGACTCAGATGCCATGGGCTTTGAGTGGGAATGGCTAGGTGATGTTTGAGTTGCTGTGGGATGTGGTACGGATACAAGGGGGGGCAGTGATGACCTGGGGACAGCATGCTTGATGCGGGGATGGCTCAGGGACAATTGCATACCTGGGCTGTGCTAAATTTTTTAAGTGGGACGTGATAGAGATGCCAGGCGTTTACAGTGATGTCCTGTGGATGCCATCCTGGGCCATTCCTGGCCCAGGGACGTCTCAGGTACAATGGCATCCCTGGGCCGCCCCGATTTTTGCGAAGTGTGATGTCCCGGGGACGGCATTCTGTCCCAGGGACATCTCAGGTGCAATGGCATCCCTGGGATGTACTGATTTTTGTGAAGTGCCCTGCGTGTGTAGACCTGAAATTGTGAAAACTGGTTTAAGTCTAACCACCACAAAGCATAAAAGAAATGGGTTTTTGGGTCTCTGATGAGGATGAGTAAGCAGACACATTCTTCCTAGGTGTGATTGATGGAGAAGTAGACAAATGATCCCAAAATGTAACTTCAAGTGGATGACTTCCCGTTGCAATCTACGACCCTCCCAGAAGTCGATTTACACCCCTTAGATCTAAATTTTTTATCAAAAAAATCATTTTTCCTGAAGCCTTCTGGTAATAGCTCTCACATGAGCTGGTTGAAATGTTCATTGTGTTCTTAATTTAAGACTGAGAAAGGTCTAAAAAGCACTCTAAACCGCGACGGGAAGTCCTCCAGTATGTTCATGTCTTTATCATATCATGAATTCATCAATGCACAAGCCAACTGCTCCATTGTATCAATGTGTTAAGAGGGCATGAGCTTTCCCCATTCCTGAAAAACATCACCAAGCCTTCCAGATTGCAAGTCTTGTTCAAGTTGATGTTTCACTAGATACATATGTATTTAAGAACAAACTATTAAGGTGCTTCAGGCTTGTTTGTGTGCACTGGCTTTGAGAGTTCTGGTGCAAACTTGACACAACTGGAGGACTTCCCGTCCGTAATTTAGCAACGTTTTTTCAGACCCCTCTCAGTTCTAAATTAACACTCTGATCAAAATTGTGACCAGCTCATGATATGAGCACCTGTTTGACAAGGGTTCTTTTGCAAAGACACCTTTTTGCCAAAAATTACGACCTTGGAGGTGTAAATTAAAATTCTGCAAGCTGATTGGCTAATATCCGCCAACCTTCGGTAGATCGATCACCTTCACGTCTTCCACTTTATCCCCCACTCCGCTCTTCCAAGCAAAACAAACTCATGCCCTTGCTCCGTTCATCAGTTCCGCATGGCGGCGCGGGCATGCATTACCCGCTCGATCCGATCCCCGCTCTCGTTCCTGAACCTCGACGGAACAGAAAGGCCTGATCCCGAAAATGGCTACACAGCACGGCATTAAGAAGAAGGAGGATCCGGTCACCCAAGGGCCAACACTCATTCTTCGGAATCTCCCCAGATGATGGCAAAAAGGAAGGGCCAAACCGGGAATTGAACCCGGGACCTCGCCCAGTTTAACCTTCAGAAGGCGGTTGGACCCGAAGGGCGAATCATACTACTAGCACCACGGACAATTGCATGTCGCTCCCGCGCGGAGCGACATCTGGGGGTTTCATTGGGGGTTTCGTGCGCAGTCACTGCGCCTACTGCCGCAGTCACGCACGCGGATTCGTCAAGGTGACGGTTACATCCGCGGCGACACGCAAATGACCGTGGTGTAGACCATTTGGCCGATGTCTCAAGGCAAGCGTAATGATTATTCGACCGACAATCTACAATTCCAGTTCCTTGTGAGATTTGTTGCTACCTGCTATGGAGTGACACACATACACTTTGTCGACGCTTTCTTCCTTCTTCTTTGTTTACCTTAAGGCATTTCTCTATGGGAAACTGGGCATGCTTACTCAGCATGATTGATTGACTTGAGCCTGTTTTGATACTCACACTTTAGGATCGTCTACTTGGTGCTCGCTGTTAAGACATAAGCAACCTTACTCGAAACACCTCTCCGAAATGTTCGGTGGTGTGTATCAATTCACTATGGATTCGTTGTCTGCTTTGGAATATTGGAGACCGGGGGGGGGGGGGGATCTTGGTGCATCAGTCCTCGCGGTGTGTATGGGCTGGTGTGGCTTGTTTTTGGAGTGGAGCTCTGATTTGGAGTCATATTAAGCGTCACTGACCGTCACCATGCAGTATGTCTAAAGGGTTGGGAAGATTGGGCATGAAAGAAACAAAGCAACCAAACTCTCCGACGAAAAATATGAGAAGATGCAAGTCGCTTGCACTTTGATGATGATAACATAGGCTTTGAGAGAAAGTAAGAACCCTTAATTATTACAGATTTTGAAAGAGGTTGTTGAGAAGGGAAGTCTGATTCAAGGGGATAGGGCGATTTCGATGACGATTGGAACGTGGTCAGAAGCACCGTAACATTCCTGACGGATCTCACATGTTTTGACACTTTCAAACACTCGTTGAGATACCTGGAACCATGTCCGTACAACAACAACAACAAAAATGATCAGATGAGCAACATTGATTTTGTGGGGTTCGATTCTTGGGACAAGAAGATCATCAAATCATGCAAATGGTGACTGACGATGAATGCATCGATTCGCCATCCAATCCCTTTCTCTCGACATCCAAATCGATAACTGAGGAAAGAAAGACGCCCAAGAATGGTCAGAACATGATCATAACAGCGACACATGGAATGTATCATGTCAGATTGATCGGGATTGGGTCAAGGCTGTGCTTGTTGGATTTTAGGAATATGGGGGCATACCTGAAATAACTGATGAAAGAAATAGGAAGCAATGTTCAAGTAAGTATTTGAGGGATGACACGGAAAGCTAAATTTAAAGCAGAAGGATAAGAAAAACAAAGCAAGTGAACAGGAAGGATAAGAGACATACGTATAGTGACCCTCAAGATCAGGATTGAGTTCCCTCCAAACATCGACCAATTTTTCGTGCCCGCTATCCTGAGGTGGACTGAGCTGACTATTCAACCCATCACACTCTTCTTGGGTGTATCCGGCGGTTTTGTTCCAATTGCTCGCCGCATTTCGGATATCTTCATTCCAAGTATCATTATTGGTGATGATCGATCATCAAGGTTTTATAAGTCTTCCCAGGCTTTTAAAATGAAGAAAGAGTGGTGCGGTGGGTTCTGTATTCGAAAGTTACCTTTTTCCGATAGTGCACAATTGATATCACCTGCGTAGGACAATTTAACGACTTCGATCAGCATGGTCTGTGTGTTGTTTCCCCCTCAAGGAACTCGAGGTCTTTTAATTCACCTCCCCAGACGACCGGTTTCTTGGCGTCCAACTCGCGCAGGTATTTCTCAAACGCGGCATTCCATTCCTTCTTGCGATCCATGAACTTGATGTAAGATGTGTAAGTCAACAGCGCGTACCATGTTTCAACGAGTAAACAAAACAGCAAGTAAATCATTTTTTTCAATTAGTCATACACCGTATTTTATTTGGTCCCAAAAGAGACGACCACGTTGCGAACAAAAAAAAATGTACCTTGAGATTATCGCCTGCGTTAGGTGTATAAGTGCCGATCAGAAAAAACTTTGAGAATTCTAATGTGACTATGCCTGGTAGGATAAAAGCGATCGAAGATGGTCAAGCGCTTGCTTTTTTTTGTTGTGGTTTGGTACAAAAAGTAATTAGAAAAATGGCTTACGTCCCTTGGTAGAGGATTGGTCTGTGGCGGTCGGTAAGCCGTATACTACTTCGATCGGCTTGTGTTTCGATAAGATTGCCACTCCAGCTTTGGTCCACATGTCGATCAACGTCCATTTCAAGCCGCCCGACCCAAGCACACTTATATCAGACTCAGTGCAAAAAAAAAGATGTGGTATCACACGAACCGTATCCTTTTGTTTCATCCCCACCCCAATATCGGTACTAGGAATCAAGTCGAAATATGTCAGTACAAAAAAAAATCAAGCAGTTGTTTACGTTTTTGAATAAAATCGTCAAAAGGTTCACTTACTCTGAATTGGTGTTTGATGTGCATGATATCCGGCTCGGCTTGCATTTTAGTCTCGCTGAGAATTATCACATCAGGGTCCTCGGCCGCCAGATAAGTTTTCAGTCCCTTTTTTTCGCAGGCATTGATACCGCAGACATTCCTACGGACAGAAAACGAAAAATGGGATTAATTGAATGAGACACATGGGAGACAGGCAACCTCTAATTTTTTTAGGATGGCTATGAGAAGGATCGAGCACATACCAAGCCGAGATCCTGAGGGTGTCATCTTTTTTCTGCGGGAACTCCAGTTTTGTGGGGAAGCTGCGATTGTTGGGTAGATGAGCATGCAGGGGCACTGTTGGACCTTTGGCCTTTTTGCTGGCAGCTGGCTTGGAGGATGCCGGGTCGTCAGGCTGGTCTTGAGTTTTGCGCTTGGTGGTGGCGGCTTTCTTCTTGGTCGTCGTTGATGGGGCCATGGTCGTTAGAAATCGAGTACAGAGCGACTGGGCCGATGAGAGTCGCCTGGTGCTTGAAGTGATGTTGGTCAAGGATGGGTGTGCTGATCTCCACCAGATCATCGTCTTGATGGCCATCCGCCCCAGGAGTGGTGCTTGCGGACGCGTCGCGACTCGCGGCGAATGTCACAGGTTCACTGCGGGCCTGCAAAGTCAAAAAGAAGGGGAAATTCGAAATGTGGCCATCATGTGCACAGGAATTCCAAACGGTACATTAGAAAACTAATGTGTCAAAATGATACACATGAGAAAAAATCAGGGAGCCATTAAACCATCTTAAGTTGAGACTTAAATGTGAGACAAGCGAAGAGGCAAAAAATAGTAACAAGAAACTAGTGGGATAATCAGATCAAGGGAATCAACAGATGAAAAGATTGGAGTTGACTGAGGAGAAAGTTGAGGACTGCTTTGGCTTATGAACAATTGAATTTTTATTTCTCCTCAACAATCTAGTATATAATGAACTAACTTGAAATCTTATGTAAAAGGAGGGCAAATTAAGTGAGCTAACTTCTTTTTTTTGAGAGAAAACTATCAAGGATTTGGACCACCTGGGATGAAAGCAACAGTGGAAGAATTCCAGCCTTATTTTCTAACACATTTCTGATCTCTCTTCCTCTTTAATTTCAAGCTTGATTTGATCTTCTATCGCAGTTCATGATAACATTGGTCTACATAGTCAGATCACACATGAATAATTGTGCAGCTGAGTGGTTAGTTAAGATCTCCAAAACTATTCCTTGCAGTCAATGAGCTCTGATATGAGTACCTTGATTGTCTCTTCTGAATGTATCTAGTCTAATCTCTAATCATAATGGATGTTGAATTTTTGGCGAAAAGGCCGGAAAAAATGATACTTTTAACTCAAGTTGGAAGGGCTCAAGTGCTTCACAACTAAGACTGAAGAAGGGCTAAAAGTGCTTCTTCAGGAAAGGCTCAGAAAAGAATAAAGAACTGATGGTTTTTCATTTTCAAGCTGCAGTCAATATGAGTTAAATATTCTAACTACAAGAGGTTCAAGTTGTGGGTCTAAGAACTCATGGCATAAAAAAAGAAAAGACAATGGCCGTTGAATAAGATTGTGACAGGTGAGTGAAAGGAAAGAAGAGAGAGACAAGCAAAATTTCAACAATGGATAATCTTGAATTTCTGTGTCTAGCTTTCATTAATTCTTATCCTTCATTCCAACCACCAATTCACTTCTTTTAATCTGTTTGGTTCCAAATTCAGGCTAAGATGTACTGGTGAGCAGCTTCATCATCACCTTGGTCAATTGTGCCTGAATTTTGAATTTTCCCTTCAAGATCAACTGATCATAATTAAGAATTGAATACTTTTCCCTAATTTGTGAGAGTTTTAATTAGCGTTCAAGTTGGTGCTGGACCCCATACCCAGATTGGCTGGGTAGACCCGCAGGAACTACCCCGCGGGACGGTCTCTGGGCCGTCTCATCAGGTTTCTGTGGAACAACAGGTATGGCAAGTACGGGACATGGGCAAGGCCAAAAATACCCGCGGGTGTTGCGGGTTAGACCTTTCCAAGGGGTGAGTGGCTGCCAGCCCAAGCTTAACTAATCCTCTTGTGATGAGAGTCATTTGCAGGTGGCAGACCAGTCTTGTCAGAGAGGCTTACATATTATTACTCAAAGCCCCCGTGATGCAGGCCTGTTTTTGTATTATCACCTCCGGCTTCCATGCCATTTTGGTCAAAATTACATTCCAGCCTTCTTCTTGTTCTCTACCATCTTGTTGATCTTTCTGCATTTTTTTTATATTTGTATTTCCATGCCTATCTTTTTTTTCAAAAAAAAAAGAAGAGAAATTCTCATTTTTCAGGCACAAAATATGCTTATACTGAGATTGCGCTTGAGCCTCTCTGCCAAATTTGCAAATCAAAGTTCAAAATCATGCACTTCATTGCCTATTTTCAAGTAGAATCACACAACTTTTCAAAATCAAGATTATGTAGATCTTTCATCTACTAGAATCAAGACAAAAATGGAATTATAATGAATGAGTGGTGGGGCAAGGAAGGTTGCCACCACCAAAACTGTGTTTCTGGCTTAGGTCAGATAAGTGTTGTAAGTTTCAAGTCCCTCCCTGCAGGAGGGGGCGCTTCACGTTCAGCCAGTCACACCAGCAAGCCTCCCACCTAGGGTTTTAACCTGGTTCCTTGGAGCCGGATTCTGTGCATCCCGCACCCTGACCCCGCAGATATCCGGCAGCTAGCCGGGTTTCTCTGGATCTCTAGGATATTTTTTTTTATTCTTTTGTTGCTGTTCTGCTGTGAAAAAAGGGGGTTCAGGGTGGGAAAGCTGGAGCTGAGGTGCAGCAGCTAGCCTCCCGAACAGGTTTGATGCGGGTAATCCCCCAAATCCCCAACTTCTGGGGGTTTTCAGCATCCAACCGGGTGCCGGATCTCTCTGGGTTGATCCCAAGCCCTGATCCGGTTTGCGGGTTTTCCGGATCTTGCCAGATCTGCGGGGTCCAGATCAGAACCCTACTCCCACCAGGGGGACTTGTGTTAAGTTTGCTGCCAGCCCAAGAAGGATGCGCAACAAAGGCAGCCGCATGAGTATGTATGCTCCCCACGGGGTCCAGCGCTAGTTCAAGTGCCACATTTATATGAGAAGAATCTGGTTAACTCATTTCAAGCCCCTCAAAATCTGGCTCAATGCTGACTGACCAGAGTGATAGAGCCTGGGGGTATATCATCAATGTTTATGTATCCAGGCTATGATGAGGTGCACTTGCACATCACTGGTTCTTGGCATTTTCTTCTTCTTCTTGAATCATGATATTTTTGGATTGCTGACAATGCAGTTACAATCTGCTCCATTTTGTTCTTAAACCCACCCCAGTGTAAATAAAACAGTGAATTTTCAGGATACTTGTTTGAGACTTTTTGAATTTGTACTTTGATTTTACTTTGAATTTGAAAAAAAACGTAATGTCAATACTTTGTTATTGTAATGATAAGAAAAAATAACAGAATAAGTCTCTTGAGGAAAGAAAACAAGAGTAAGAAAAAATTGTGCCCTATAAAGATACAGTTTGTAATATTTATGTCCTAATAGTAGATCTTGTTTGTAGTAACTAATGAGTGGAGTTTGTAGCAATGATAACAATTTTATAACATATCTTTTGATCCGCTTCTTTACACGGTGCAAAGTTGATTGACGTTTCATGTGATGCCACACCCAGACCAAGTCAATGGGGTTGCATGCACAGTCACTGTGCAGCATCTGCAGTCACTGCGGATGAATTAGTCCGGGTGTCGCATTTTTCTGTGCGACACTAAACTCTTCACCATGTTAGATAATGAGAGAATCCTCTTTAAACAAAAGTAGGAATAGGTTTTTTATATGTCAACAAGTGTAGAAAGTTATGTTATCAAAACATTTTTTAGAAAAGTTTTTGCACGAAGTTTCCTGGCTTGAGTTTGACACCCAGGCGGGTCGGTGACGCGTAACTGATACGTAAAACTGGACGGCTGGTGTCGCGAGTCTCACGATTCAAGACGTCTGTGGGCCAGCAGACTGACCCCCTATGTGCGTGTGTACCCCCCTCAACAATTTTCAACTGCTCCCCTTTGAAATTCACTCACCCTCAACTCATTCAACTTCATCCAAATTTCCCATCCAGCTGACCAGTTTCTTCACTTATTCAACCTGCGAACCTCAGCAACAAGAGATAACAGCCAGGCTACGACACGCATTTGTTTGAGAGAGCTGCCCACACGACATGTTCAACGTGGTTAGTCTGACAATGCTTTTATTTGACCCATACAAGTACTACCTAGCTGAAACCTTTCTCATTTATATTATCTTGTTGCTTTAGGTGCGAAGATGTAAGAAACCAAGAGTATGGAAATGGCTTGAAACTAACCGCTTGTAAATTTTTTTATTCCTCTGTGATTAGTATTCGGGGCGACACCCGCTGAAGGTATTACTTTTTTTCCAAGAAAACTGACGATGGCAAATGAGAGTCTAATTTGTTTGATCTGTCGTTCGTATTCCAGGAGAGCCGGCACCCGAAAAAGCGATCGAACTCATAAGTCTGCCCGCCGGACGTTTGAATTTAATTCGGCCAAAGCATGTAACCAAGGTCGAAAAGGAATGCATGTAAGAGTTCAGATTGTTCTGTCTTGCTCGTTCATAATACACTGCGCTGTCAGAAATCATTCAAGTCAAACAACAAGCCTGATAATGATCATACTTTGAAATAGATATTTGGAAGCCGGACTGATAATTCGGCGAACTTCGATCCCTTTTCACTATCAGCTGGTCGTCGCGAGGTTGGGCGAAGGTGATGAAGAGTTAGAAAGTGAGGATGCGCTAGAGGGTGCGTCGGTATCCCCAGAAAAATAACCTTTTTTCTTCTTCAGAAAAGCGCAAGCACTGACCCAGAGGACCGAAACATTTAATAAATTAGATGATTATGAGAAGGCCTTTTTGTTGGCGAAGGTTCTTGATTTTCGGGTTTACGAGACAGTGGATGACAGCGATGAGGAAGAAAGACCTGCGATTGCGTTTTCTTGGCTTGATCTCTCATCCCCCGATATTTCCGAAAGATTCGAATTTGTCATCAGCAGCCAGCATGAAGGCTGCTCAAGCTCTGAAATCGAACGGGTTGAAGATGCTATTGTGCAGTGCATTGTGGGTTATCGAATACCATCTTATAAGGTATTGGACTGAGAGGTTGACGGACGCAACTTCCTCAATATTCACTTTTTCTTTGCTGATTTCTAGTGGGAAGGCGAGAATGAGAAGGATAGTTCGGAAGCTCCAGAAGATGATCTGTTGGTAATCAAGGAAAGGTCAGGAAATTTTTAGATTATATTGGTCGAATTTCCTTTGATTTCGCCACTTGACTCAAAAAGCTGCTGACCCCAACTACTTCAAAATCGGCTCGCGCCCTTTGGACAAAAGCTTTGATTTACCTTGCCCACAATCAGAGATCAGCCATCCAGCACAACCGTTGCCTTTATTTCGCCCCCCAAGCACTATTCCGAGCGAAGACTCAGATATTGAGCAAACCGCCGACACCACTTTGGATTATTCTGAAACATCTCAAAGATCACGTGTATTCCGTCCTCCCAGTCTACATAGCGAAGATTCAGACCTAGAGGACTCATCAGAAACTGAGCCTAACCCGGGAGCCAACGCCGAGGAACAGGGTGTTGAAGATGACAGTGATTCTTCTGCTGATGAAATAGTCAACCAACTCAGGGGCACCACTCTTGCTGATAAACGCAAAGAACAACCGACATCCTCACCGATCTCCCGAACCATCTTAGGCACCCCTTCTCGGACATATTCGCCGAAAGCTGACCCTTCGAGCCATCGGAAACCACATACTTCGTTTTCAACAGATCAAGTTTCGCCAGCAAAGGCACAGTCTCCCACACCCTCGGCACAGCGGGCTTCTCATACCTCGACGGCCCAAGCCTCTTCGCCCACATCTACTTCCACCTCAGAAGAATCGCTAGTCAATGAGGATTACGAGATCAATCACCGCAATCCAACTAGCCACAATGATGAATCCCTTCGAGCAGATGAAGACCCTGAAGTCCTACAAAGCCAATCAGCGATAGATAATGAAGATCATTCGTTGGTTGAAGAACAATCATTCATTGCAGAACAGTCATTTGTTGGCGAAACCGTCTCAGCTTGGAAAGCGATTTGCAACCTTTATATATTTAAGTCTGCTACAACAAGTTTTGAGAGGTGGGAGACTGGGGCTAGGGCAGAACTTTGGGTATCTGCCCCTCAGAATCCACAATCTGATATATGCTGGTTGACAGTGAAACCGCCGGGAGTCGATGACGATGACCTACGTTGCGTGATTTCTACTCCCATTGGAAGTGAACAAAATCTCAGTTTCAGTGGTGTCAGTGTTCCCATCCTAGACACAATATCTTCTTATCATTCTTTTGTCATCATGGTGGGGCATGTTTTTAGTCAACTCACTAAATTTATATGTTTTAGGGAAGCATTTTGTTTCACTACAGGTACGATGTTCCGGGCGATGATGCCCATTACCGAACATGGGCATTGCGATTTCCGGACGACGAAACTTCGCGTGATCAATATACTGCTGCTCAAGAAGCGTTTGCTAAGGCTTTATACGACCGAGACCATGGCCTTGGTAGCTACGAGGCCCAAGATCGAGCCACCAAAGACTGGAGTCGTTTGACATATGGCGTCTCTGTTGAAGGTGCTTATGACGAGGAGGACGAGGGACAATCCGATGATAGCGAAGAGGCCGAAGATGATGAGGAAGAAGAAGGTGCTTAGTTTTGGTTGAAATTACAGAAATCGATGGAGATTCGCCTGACTTTTTCATTTGTTTGTATTTGGGTAGATTATCCAAGTAGTGATGATGACGACGACGACGACGCGCAATTACAACAATTCCGCTCCAAGAAAACTATCTCCAAAAATTCGTGTTTTGCAACCGGGGCAAATGAAAACCTGACATGTGTCTCTAGGGATGACATGTTGGGACTATTTAAGAATGAGTCCACTAACGACAAAAAACTGAAGTTTGTGGTCTTCTTTCTTCATATATTTGAATATTCGTCCTCCGAAGCTTAAATGATTCACGCGCCTCATAGATTTATGGCCACCATCCCTGAACTGAGAACGCCTGATGGAAGAGTCATACGCCCAACCAAGATAATGGTGAGCTTAGGTCTAGTTAAACATGCATTGGATGGTAATTGTCAACTTATCATCAATCAATTATCGAATTATGTATATGAAATCTATAGATGTATGGTCAAGACAGCACTGTAGTTGTCCAAGACGAATCTATCCCAGAATATTTGTTCCCCGTCGACCTAGCAGTTGGTAAAATAGTGGATTCTTGGGACATGGACGAGAACATAGTGAAGGACTTTTTTGGACAGACCAAGACCAGTCAAATGGAACAGCGGAGTAACCTAATCGGGACCTCTTTTAACAAAATTTTCCGGATTGATCCCCGAGTGGATGGCCCCAAAGCTGTAGCTGAGATGACCAAATCTTATAAAACGAAGATGGACTTTTCCTGTGGTGTTACTACAGCCTCCGGACAAATGGCAATCGGAGCAGAGACAGGAATAGTCAGACTGTTCGACCCCAAAATTGGCAAAATTGCTAAAACTGCACTACCTGGAGTTAGGGACGCTATACGACATCTGGATGTCACCAACAATGGAAGATATCTCGTCGCTACTTGTCAAAAGTATTTGCTCCTCTGGGATTGCCAAATGAGCAGTGGTCAATTGGGATTCGACAAAAGCTTCCCTAAGGATGAGAAGCCCGGCGGTATCAGGATCGAACTTACCAAAGAACATCGAGCGCAGATCATTGATGAAAACATCAAATATTGTTTCAAGGACGCAAAGTCTGTACTTTTTTTTTTTCTTGGAAGGGGGATCATCGATTACTAAGCTTACTAAACTCATTCCTTTCTTATTGTCGTTGTCGATTGTAATAAAATCCAGATTCAATCAAGGCGATGGAGAAGTAGAGAGGAAGATTATTACTGCCATTGGTCCTTACATCATTGAATTCGACTTGAAGTCGATCTTGGATAAGAATAAGAAGACTCAATACACCCTCAAGAGATATCAGCAGAACGTTGTTGGTGATAACTTCCGGTGGGGTAATGATAAAGATATTGTCAGTCATTCATTCACTTTCTGACCAGACACTCAGCTGGTATCTCTCCCCCCCCCCCCCCCCCCCAATTCGTAAAAAAAAAAAAAAAGAAAACTTCCTCTTGAACTTAATGGCCCGATGTCTTTGTTTCTTTATCTTGAAAATTGTTTACTTGGTGAATGAAAAACTGATCATACGTATTTACAATGATAGGTTGTCGCACTTGAAAGTGACGTGATCATGGAGAAACGAAGCAAATTGTCGAAGCCCAATCGCAAATCTATCGTCGGACTTGAACCTATCAATTCCAACAGGAACCGGCCATCGAGTAGTCGCATCAGAACTTCGACCTTGGGCGCTGTTCCAGAATGGGAGGAGTGACCCATCAAACGGCTTGGTTGACGGATGCTCGGTCTGGTCCTTTTTCAGATCTCAAAGATAACCTATACTCTTTCCGTTTGTTTTTCACTTTGATATTCTGCTTTTTTTTTCTCAAAATTCTTTGGATGATGTAGTTTTACTTGTTACCTTTCAATTCAATCTAACAAAAAAAAATGAAAACCGAAAAACGACAAAAAAAATGAAACTTGAATACTCTCACATCCCCTTTTCTTGATGTATTTCCATACCTCAATATATACACGGGGGTTCACTTTTTTAGTTTCTCAGATGGTTTCCGACCTAGGATTTCAATCCCATATCCAAATCTTGTTTTCATTCTTTGCTGTTGACAGTATCATCAGTTACAATTTTCACCACCTATCATCGATCTCAATCATGTCATCTTACAATTACATATATGTATGTGTGCCCAATATCAATTAGTTTTTGAGGAAATAGTAATATGTCAACAATACGCACTATGGCTTGAGTATTACTCAATGCGACATCCTTGTCCTTGTCTCCTTTGGCTTCATTTTGGCGTGGCCCATACTTTCATGCTTTGTGTCGACACATCGGCCATAGATGGCTGTGAGATGAAAGAAGAGGACGCTAGTGACGATTTTTCGTCATGTTGGTTTGAAACCGAATGGTTCCTCGGCCAAACCTGCAAACCTTTCTCCGTCCCTTCCTCTACGGCACCATCCTGTGAAGACTATATACACCTCTTTCTCCGGGCATGCAATCGTCTTGATGAAAATCGTCAAGCGAAGTGCCGGATAGCGCAGAGCTTACGGAGACCCCAAAGACATGCCGCAATCGCGCATACATTCGGAACGTCCTCATTCATTGGCACGGTGCTCAAGCTAACCTACGTTATTTCCAATTCTCCTCAGTTTCTCTCCCCACAAAATCGCTCAACTTTGTAAATTTGCAACACGTTTTTACATAATAATAATTCTTTCCATGCCTTGTCACTATAGGGGTTGTAATCCTGTCGGGAGAGATAGAGAGACGTACTGGGCTCTGGCCATGATAGAGTAGCAATCTCTCCTCAACAATACACCGGTGTGAGGCTATCCAAGATTCCGGCGACTCAAGCCAAGTATTAGCTTGATGTAAATATTCCTTTCCCCACTTGGGGGTGGAAACTTGCCTGTCTCCCAAACGAGGTCGCGCTTGGTGCCACCTGGCGACCACCTCGGCGGCGAGTTGTCGAGTTCGGGAATGTACAGAAATGCTTAACCACCCTTTATGTAGAAGCTCATTACAGTCTACATTCCTGACGGGGTCGTTTGAATTACATAAATACTTTTAGGCTTGTTTATGTACCTTTGTGTCCCATCATTCCTTTTATCCAAACAAAGTGTTGGATGACTAGTGCCAGATCTCAGCAGAGGCTGGGTGCTTGAGAGTCCGCTGGATACCATTACATGCTATCGGTGAGGAGTCAGCATCCAGAAACCATCGTCATCTGGGAGATAGCATTACCTGTCTCTTTGCCTTTTTCCCGTCGGCCAGCTTGACACAAGCCAACACCTTACACCTTGCTATTGAGAAGAACACACCGTCGACTCTCCTGAACTCGCCATCCCACAAACAACAAATCCCCATATCGGCATCGCGTTCCACGTCCCCGTTCAAATTTGATTCGTCTCAATCATGGGCACTTACGGACCAGGGCCATCGGGCTTTAGCTCACCCTCTGAGTCTGACGACGAGAGCACTACTAGAGATGACGATATCGAAAACCTCAGAGCTGAAAAAGACGGCAAGATAGCCGAAAAAGATAATCAGATAGCCGAACTACTCCACAAAGTCAAACAGCTCGAGTTTGAAGCACCAAACAAATCTCAAGCTTCTTTAGCGCCAGCCGATGGTCAGCTCAATCTTCCCGCCGCCGCCATCTCTGGGGGCTCCTTAACTATAGCCGCCAACCAGAATCAAACATTTTTGAATCGACCCAATCCATTCCTGAGTTCTCCAGCCAATCCCTTTACCAACTCCTCAGCTAGATCGCATCAGCAGTCCGGGGTTGCTTCTGAGACCAGATATGGACCCTCCCAGCTCCTAGTCGAAAGGTCTTCGACGACCACAACCACTTCAGTCAGAATTGCCTCAACTGGGGGAGCCTTCTCTGGATCTTCCTCGAACGGGATAACCCATGCTACGATAGAATATCGGGCTGAAAGCTCCTTCACGAGGTGGAGTGGTTTGAAGAATAGCACCATGGTGCCAGAAAGGCACCAAGACAAATCCGACAGACATTTCGATAACAACGTGCAAGTGGAAGTCATCGAGGAAGAGGAAGGTACGCAGGTTTCATCTCAATTTTCGAGTGGCCGATTCTTGAATAATTTTTCAAACTCGTCGGTTTTTCTGAATTCGCTTTTGGTGCTCATGAAATACTCATGATTGATAATTTTACATAGGTTCATCAAGTGATGATGAAGAAGATTACGAGCCGCGAGTAAGCTCTCGATCCAGAAGGAACGAGCCCACTAACGATCACTATGCGATGGGTTATAAAGGTGTTTCTTGTGTTGTTGGGGGAAACACCGTCAAGACGTTTGACGATAACTCCAACGGTAGTGGAAAGCTGAAGTACATCCGGCCTTTTTTTTCCAAAACAAAAACATAATTCACCTGAGCTGATTTTTATTCTTTTTTCTTTGGTCGTTTATCGTTGGCAGGTTATTGGCTAAGATTCCAGGACTTAAGACGCCTGATGGAAAGCGAGACCTGTTCCCATCCAAGATCATGGTCAGTGTTCATGAACAGGTTTTCAAAATTGATGAGAGATGGAACAAGTCCTGACACATTTCACTTCTTCACTTTAGTTACATCGAGAAGACTCTAACCTGATCATCCAAGATAAGCGCAGTGCAAACTCACTATACAACTTCGACCTGGAGGTCGGGAAAGTCGTTGAAGAATTCAAGCTGGGTCGACAAGGCGCACCGTTGGAGGATTTCTGTCCGAGCCTTAAATTCGGCCAAATGACGTCGGAAACCACCTTCGTGGGCGTCTCATCAGACACCTTACAGACCATCGATCCACGACTCAATGGATACAAGGCGGTGACCCATCATGACTACAAGACCAACCCGAAGTTTTCGTGCGTTGTGACGACCGAGTTTGGATGGATCGCCGTGGGATCCCACAAGGGTGACATTAGGCTCTACGACTCGATCACCAGCTACAGAGCCAAGACTTGGTTCCGTGGATCTCATGGCCCAGTCTTGGCGCTCGATGTCTCCAAGAATGGCGCCTTTTTGATCGCTACTTATCAGACTTACTTGGTGCTCTATGAGTCGGGCATGGGATTCATCAAAAGCATTGCGAATTCTCCCAAAGGTAGTGGAACAAGGCTTCAGCTTACGCGAGAACATCAAATGTTTATACGCTAGCGAAAATATTCCCTTTGTTTATACACCAGCAA